ACATTTCGGTTGTATCCATTGTGCAGGTCATAGGAGGATATAGAACAACTGATGGTTCAAAGCCCGACTCTTCAGGTAATGAGAGCGTTGCGAGACTCTTTCTTACTGAAGGACGATGGATCACAGACTCCTCTGTTGCGTTTGCTAACATCTCGGTGTCTGTAGTTCGTGGGCTTGTAGGTGGCTCGTCACGATAAGTAAGTATTTTTGCAGAATGTAGAACCACTGCTGGTACAAAGCCCGACTCTTCAGTTAGTTGCGTTGCAAGACTCTTTCTTACTGAAGGCTGGCGAATCACAGTCTCCTCTAAAATCGCGTTGTTCGTAATTTGTGGACTTGTAGTTGGCTCGTCAGCAGAAGTATGTATTGCTGACGGCTGTGTGTATTTGTCGGTGAAGATGTGGACGGTAACGGCGCCGATCTGCAACGGAACGTCAAGTTTCCCTTTTAACTGCTAGATTTCGCAAGTGCTGGTCTCGTGATCTGTTTTCATTCTGTTAAATGTAGTGAACTGACCTACTCTTACAATCTTGGTTCGCTTTGAGGTGACAGGGCTTCAAAGACGTCAAAGGTTGCCATGGTGACCAATGGGAATTCGAATAGCTGATGACATCATCGCATTCTATTCACACAGAATGTTAGAAGCACTGCACACGTTCGTAAATAAACACGGCCAAATACGTGTTAGGATTGTCTGAAAACTAAAATAAAACAAAAACAAACATACAACGTGGATTTAAACGGCACATTTTCAGGAACCTGCGATCCGTACGAGCCTTCATGGTCCTTCTCACTGACCGTGACAACTTTTCTTCATTATTTGTCTCCAAAACTAAAATGGAAAAACGATTTCGATTTTGTGTTCAAATGGATAATGGAAAAAAACGGATAACAACTTCTGAAGGAAAAGACGCGTGGAGCAGATGACCAAAGTGAAACCGTGAGAAGCTCCGTTAATGCGGCAACACAGATACGACTCGTTATCGCTGCAAAACATCGTCTCTCTCGTGGTCAACCTTTGTATTGTGATTTAAAACATAATTCACCCACACAGCAAAAGTATTTTATACTTTTGATAATATTATAAATCGTTTCAAATCTTATGTTTTCAGAATGTTCAAAACTCGAGAATGGAGACAAAATTAAGTTCACATAATATATTTACAATAATTAACTGTTGAGCAACAAATTTTTATGATGATATAATAAAAAATAAGCAACAATTTGGAATTTCCAAGGTACAAATCTTATTTACTTTGTTTGCCTGTTCAGTAGGATGGAAAAAAGTTTTCTAACCTTAAAATAATATTTGAGCTTCACAAAAAGTATAATTTATGATGAAATGTGTAATAAATCTGTAGACGAAGTGAAAAACTGTTGTGGGCTCAACTTTTCTCTAAGGATTTGTCCAGTAAAACCTCAAAATGTGGATAAAATCGCTCAGTGTTGATCATAAACTCGTATCAGATAAACAAATAATATAAAACACAGGTCTAAACCAGGACTACCACAAGACTAAACCAGGGACTTAACCAGGTCTAAACAAAGATGACCACAAGAGTTAACTAGGTCTAAACCAGGAGTAAACCAGGTCTAAACGAAGACTACCACAAGAATTAACCAGGACCAGACCGGGACTGAGACCTGGACTGAAAACAGTTCAGTCCTGGTTTGTCTTGTTTCAGTCCTGTTCAGGTCCTGGTTCAGTCCTGGTTCAGTCCTGGTTCAGTCCTGGCTCAGTCCTGGTTCAGTCCTGGTTCAGTCCTGGTTCAGTCCTGTTCATGTCCTGGTTCAGTCCTGGTTTAGTCTTGTTTGAGTCCTGTTTTAGTCCTGGTTCAGTCCGGCATCACAGTTTAACTCATGTAAACAAGAAACGTCCGTTATCCTTTTTAGGCCCGAGCCCCGACAGGGCGTAGGGCCTATTGCTTCCGCTACACGGAGCGAATGGGGAGCGACGTGCGCATGGCTGAATGCGACACGACGACATGCAACATTGTCCTCGGTCGCCCCCGGCACAAACAGCAGTATCCCAGTAACCCACGCCCAAGGCCTGAGCCATATTTACTACTGCTAAAATGAATGGAAGTCAATGGGAGGTCAGGGGGCGACCCCGACGAGATGGTGCAGACGCGCCCGTCACTCACCAATGACCCCACGGTGACGTGGGGAATGTCGAGAGCTTTCAAAAAATGTATAATATGTTGTTCTAATGTTTTCGGATATATTGTTTTTGCTCGAATTATTATTATTTAGGCCCGAGCGCCAGAGGCTGGCAAAGGGCCTATTAGTATCGCAAAGCGATGCTCCGAGTGGCCGAAAAATGGAATGGCGCGACGTGACTTGCCCGTAGTGACCAGGGACCCTCGCCATGATGTAGCAATGTGTCTGAGGTTTCCGAAAATGTATAGTTTGTCGGCCAAAAAAAAAGCGGAACATTGTTCTCGTATCAGTATCAGAATATTCTTCTTCTTATTATTATTTTTTTCCTAACCAACTCACCCATTTTTCACCCACTAAACAATAATAAAAAGTCCTAGAAATTTTTCCATCTGGTAAAACTCGCGCTTCCCTAAGTTTTGGCTATTTCCATTTTCCAAACAGAAATAAAATGGCTCGTCAGTGCTCCCAAACGTCTCAAAAATGCATTAGGGAATACGAATGACACACAAAAAAATTTGCATGTACAATCATGAAATTTGACACTGAAGTCGATCATGTAAAAATATTATTATGCCAACACCGTGTGCTCCACTAGGGGGCAGCAATATTGGCTTAAAATTTGTTAAGCTTTTACGAACTCCTCCGAGGACGTTCACCCGAACGAGCTCAAATTTGGTCCACATTACCTCAATATGTGGAACATCAAAACTTATCCAAATTGTTCACACACGTCTTACGATCTCTGAGCAGTGAAGCAACAAAAAATGCACACAATTTAGGAGATTTACAAATTGGTCCCATTTGCTCAAACAAACTCCGATTTCAATGAAATTTGAAACAGTTGTTAAACTGTCTGCCCTGAAGCTACTTAATGTGAAAATTATTAATTTGGCGCAATAGCGCCCCCTATAGATTGAAACAAATTTTAATATGGAAGAAAATCATTTGTTCCCAAATAGTTGTTCAAAAATTTCTGAAATTTTGCACAAAATTCCATTTTGGCATCCTGATCCAAAATTCAATGACACCCATGTCATATTTTTTATGGCGTTGCCATAGCGATGACATAAACTCTCCATTGGTAAAATCTACAAATTCTGGCACAAACTTTGGCTGATTTCACTCAAATTTTAATCATTGATTGACACCCCGACCCTGAACAGATTTATATAAGAAAATCTCCAATGGGCACAATAGCGCCTCCTAGGGAAATTGCATGGTACTGCAAAAATTTACTTTGTTGTAGACATAAAATTTGGTACACACAAAAAAGTCAATGATGACCCCATGCCATTTCCCATCGTGTTACCATGGCGACCGGCCAAACATCTGCCCTCGCCAATAGGATGCCTGACAAAAACTTTGGCGTAGCCAAACCAAATTTGGTACACAGATGCATCATGGGAATAGGAACAAAAAAGTATAATTACGCGGTTCCTAGGCAACCAACAGGAAGCCCGCCATATTGGATTAATTGTGCGACCTGTCCTCATATTTGAATGAACTCGTCCTTGGGCGTTTGACCCAGACAGAATCATTCTGTATCATCTAGACAAGTGGGACATTAAAAGTTGTTAAAAGCTTTTTAAAAGGTCAAAAGGTGTTGCCGTGGCAACGGTGCAAATTTCGGGTTCTTTTTTGGGGCTCACCATCAAACTTCGTCGAGTGATAATTTGCACAAACTTTGGCCGATTTCACAAAAATTTTAATCGTGGGTTCACACCCCGACCCTGAACAGATTGATGTAAGAAAATACAAAAATGGGTGCAATAGCGCCCCCTAGAAAATTTGTCATCATCTAGAGAAGTGGAACATCTAAAGTTATCCAATTTATGTTGTGGTTTACGTGCGGCGAGGCCGCAAATTTTGGTAAAAATTTTGGCTAATTTCAAGGTGACATTATTTGCTCCTGTTCGCACAGACTTAGTCCGATTGTGCTGAAATTTGAATCACTAATGTGTGATCTCAGTCTGAATATAATACACTATAAAACATATGAAAAGTGAACACTATAGCGCCCCGTAGCGTATACATGAAACTTCAACATTATCAGATCTGCACCAAATTTGGGAATTAAATTCTATGCATCATTACGAGCACAAAATTACATTATGGACATGGGGAATTTTTCACTGTTGGCCAGCAGGGGCGCAAAGACTCCTCCAAAAATATTTAAAACATATATTACACGCACATGCTTAGTCCGATTGTGCTGAAATTTTAATCACTAATGTGTGATCTCAGTCTGAATATAATACACTATAAAATATATGAAAAATGAACACTATAGCGCCCCCTACCATAGACATAAAATGTCAACATTATTGGATCTGTATCAAATTTGGGAATTAAATTTTATGAACAACTAGAAGCAAAAACATATATTACTGATATGGGGCATTTTTGATGGTTGGCCAGCAGGGGGTGCAAAGACCAGTTAAAGGTGCACTTTGTCATTTTTCAGTTTGCGGGTGCGACGTTTGCAGGCGTGGTGTTTGCAGGCATGGCGTGTAGAGCATGGTGTTGGTGGGGCACACCGTTTGCGGGTGTGGCGTTTGCCGGGCGTGCATGTGTGACGGGCGAGGGCCGTTCGACGCCGCTTGCGGCTTTAATTGTTATTGTTGTCCCTACAGAGCAGAATCACATCTTACTGAAGTACTGTAAAGCACTGGAGAAGTGTATATTCTGGATCCCAAGCAACCATAAAAGTGCAGTGAAATATTTTTTATTCCAACACTATAGAATATTATAGATACATATTAGAAGATATTAGAAATTATTTTGTAACTAATTGGTATAACAGCAAACACTGGTTACATTGGTATTGTTCATGTGCTCACCTCCGTCCAGACTGCGTGACATGTTGTATCTTTTGCTGGTGGAGCGTTCAAACAGAGGAGCAGGTCTGATGATCTGAGAACTGGCCCGTCGAGTCTGAGCCTGAGTCCGCCCGCTGTAACGGAACTTCGAGCCCAAACTCAGGAACTTCTTTGGAGGAGCTTCAGGGGAAACCAGTCTGTGAGGATAAAGAAAGAAGAAATTATTTTACAAAATGCTGATGCTTGAACAAATACTCTAAATTTTAATGTGTTCTTTGTTTGGACGTCTTCTGCTATATTTGGTGTAGGAAGCCTGATACATTGTTGTAAGAAATCTGTAGCGTTTCAGAGCAAGCTGATTAAAAAAGGGAAAACAAACGAGAGAAGACAGATGCTCCATTCGCATCAAAAACAAACTTACACATTACACATTAAAAAAGGGAGAAAAATCTACTTAATGGACAGAGAAACAGTGCAGATATTTACAAAATCAACAATCGAAGAACCAAACTGTTACTTATTTCACGTAAAAGACGTCATATAGTTTGTTGATGTTACGAGAATTTTGGAGGAGATGTCTTCGGCATTTGAGACATGTGATAAAAATTAGCAGCTGCGATTGGCTTGTCTCCAGTTTGGACAGAGGTTTTTCACGCTCTATGGTCCTATTTTAGACCCCTCAGGATTCAGAGAGAATGTAGAAGAGACTGGCTGGTCAGGCAAATAGCTGTTTTCAAGAAAAATTCCTGCACAATGTCTCACTCCTGGTTTTATTTTATTGATAAAACATTTTGGTCCCTCAGATCTTCCTCAGCTCCCTCATTTTCTTGAAAACTGCTAAATGCCTCTCCTCCACCGCACCTGTCGCCCAGTCAGGTGTGCAGAGTCTACACACTAACATAGTCAGGCAAATAGTTCTTAAATCACCAAATATTAAGTTCAAAATGCTAACATAAAAATTTTAAATGTTAAAAACTGCTCGGTCTGTCAGTCAGTCAGCCACAAGAGCGACCAACTACAACCATGGCAAACCAAGGATGCTTAGAATGCATAAGGTAAGTGAGGAATAACTTTGGACCACTAAAAGCACTGTGAAATTTTAAATAAACTAGCTCTGTTTTTCACATTTTTATGACAGTAAAAGTACAGGGCCTTTAACCTCATGACTTTAGACTATGTTAGACTTTGGCTAAGAGACTTTTGGCTCAGACTGCAGCCTGAAGTGACCCAAATCCGATTTTTTCACCCCTATGTGACCTGTATCTGATCTTTTAATGACAATCTGAACGACACAGATCCAATTTATTCAAACGCGACCCAGGCCACTTGGATATGTGCTCCTAAAACCGACACATATCCGATCTTTTGACAAGCGACTTATGTCTGAACGGCCAGGTCACATTCATCCCACCTATACGCTCACAAATGTACACAAATTTTCTTCTCGTCATGTGAAAATTGTGTCTGAACTCCGTGTCAGTGAAGCAGTGAAGCACATAACAATCCCCCCACCCTTTGCTGCGACTCTGCACCCACAAGTTCCTTTCTACGGACTTTGTTGCCACTGCCCCACAAAACGTCATGGCCAAAAACCTTTGTCCTTCTCCTTCTCAATCTCCTCCTTAAAACAAATAATCTGTACATGTTCTGGCTCCGGTACGACAACAACTTTAAAATCACCAGGCGACTTCCGTAAACACTGAGCACTCTCGCTACCTGTGACGTCATCGTGTCCTCCAATGAGCATGTAGGACAATTTTGGGGTGTTTAAAGCTCACACTGGAGATCACATAAAAGTCGCATTTAATTGGAAATGTGAACGACCTCGCGAAAAATCCGAACTGAGCATTAAACCCTGCAGTCTGAACGTAGCCTTAGACCAGACGTTACCGATCCACAATGGAAATGACTTGGACACAGCAGCTCACACATCACAATATATTATAATAACAAAGAGCAAACATATAATATAATAGAAATATAGAGATTATATTGTTTGAAATGACTATGAAATAAATGTTTTACCTGAAGAATGTGTGATGTTCAACACAGACTTTCCAGAGACGTTTGGCCGCGCGATGGTTCGGGAGCTTGAACCCGATGGTGCTTTCAAACTGCTCAAACTGAAATAGACAAATACAAAAAGGAACTGCATTTAGAGAAGAGACACAGTATAGAGAACTAGAATAATCATATAAGCCAGTAATTAGATCTGATTTTTGGTGTTTACTAACGAAAATACTAACAAGTCAGGTTATCATGGTGTTTTTATTGTAGTTTTCACATATGTATCTGTTCCTTCAGTTTTAATTGACTTTTATGTGAAGCACTTTGGTCAGCTGAAGTTGTTTTAAATGTGCTATATAAATAAACTTGAACGGAATTGAAATCTCATCATCAAAAACTCCTAGTGTCATGTGTAGAGCCCGACCGATATGGATTTTGTTGTGGCCGATATGAAACTGATATAATGGGAGTTGGAGCTGCCGATAGCCGATATAATCGCCGATATATTTAGTGATGTAAAAATTCACTGTAAATCTTGAATTGTTTAAAAAACTTAGGTTTGGCTCTAATGGATTCTAAATTGGGTTTATTTAGGCAACATTTATTGTTATTCTGACTCTTTACATCATATTTACATACAGTAAATTGGCCTAATGGCATTTTTGCATCACATTCTAGCTACTAGTGATGGGTATTCCATTTTTTTTTTTTTTTGGAGAACCGGCTCTTTTGGCTCGGCTCACTAAAGCAGCTGGCTCTTTCGGCTCCCAAGCGACTCTTGATTGTTTTGTTGCAAGCAGGACTAAACCAAAACTGGACCAGGACTGAAAAAGGACTAAACCAGGACTAAAACAGATTTAAACCATGTGTAAAACAGGACTAAACCAGAACTGAACCAGGACTGAGTGTCGGGACTCGGTCTCTATCTCTCTCACAAGTCCAAGATTAGTCCTGCTTTATTCATTTTATGCTGAACTGCAGCCAAATATGCACCTTTTTTTTAATCCTATGCACACGCATATTTCTGAAAGTTTCGTTTTCAGACGCTGCTGCTGTCAAACTACGGGTCTACATGCAGCTTGAAGAGAAAAAGTGAGAAAAAGAGAAAACACGGCTCCCAATATGAAGCAGGCTCCCGTCGTTCACTTCAAAGAGCCGACTCTAAGAGCCGCTTCGATCGCGACCGACCCATAACTCCTAGCTAGTAAATAAACTACCGCGATTAGCCTTTAGCCGTAAAAACGTGCGCACCGCGGTAATTACTTATATGCATAAATGTGGATCATTCACACGTCTATTCACAGCTCATTTACATATCAATGCAGGTCCAGTAACAAATATACGGACAATACAGTCACTTTACAATAGGCCAATAGAAAACAGCCTGTTTATGTGCGGGAGCTACAGCAGCTAATCGCTAACAGATAACCTAAACTAGCTTCAAAGTCGATGTATTTCCAACACTCACCGCTCACACAGGCTCCTCCTCACATCACAAGTCTGCACTAATAAATGTCCTTTTAATCCAGACTCAAACCGATTGTGCGTAAAAAGAAAATAATCTCAGTGTTGCTCACCGCTGCAGGTGTAAACAAACACACGTGAGTGAAGTGACGTCACTCTGGTGGTGTGTTCAGGGACAGTACGGACACAAATTACACCGAAAATAAATACTGATGCGGAGCCACATATTAGGACATTTATCTGTCTATAAATTGGATTAAATGAACATAATGTAGACAGTCTAAGCTTTATAACGAGGTATAACATGCCCACGTGAAATATCGGCCCATATCAGCAAGCATATCGGCCGATAGTCGATATGTCTCCAGGTGCCCATATTGGCCGATAATATCGGCCAGCCGATATATCGGTCGGGCTCTAGTCATGTGTGCACTTGGAAGTCAAAACTAGACAAAATTTTCAAATGGGCCCATATTACAATATTTTTTTATCTATGTTATAATGTTTTCTCATCAAAAAGTTTATTCACACATGTTTAACACACAAACCCTGCATATTTCGGCTGCATTCTTTTGGTTCCACCTTGTGATGTCATGTGGTAATACAGGAAGTGCTCCACTGTGTTTTTAAACTCCATACAATTTCAGTAGAATTTTTTTTAGATAATTTCAGCCCTGGAATTGCCAATCTCTACTGAACAAAAGGTAAAAGGTAGTTGCTAATTTAAAAACGATTCTTTTAAAACTAGGGGTATGCAAAAATATCAATATATGGTATCGTTTAATGTGATGATACAGTATCGATATCGTGGGCTGCTGTACCGATATATCACCAAGAGTATTTTTTGGTATATTTTACTAAATTATTTTATTACAGCGCTACAGTTTTGTTGCTTGTTTGGAGGAAGGAAACCAATTTGTTTGTGACACGTTTGACATTTTCACTGTTCTAATAATTAAAATGGGTGTTTTACGTATTAACTTTGCACAGAAAGTTGGTTTAACAAAGTCTTTTAGTATCACAGACATGATTTAGCCTTTAGCCTCTCACTGTATCAAGATGTGTATTGATTCGTGGCCTATGTATCGAGGTATGTACTGTATTGTATCAGCAACTTCTTAATGATATCCAGCCCTATGACATCACGAGGTGGAACAGAGCATTTTCACAACAGACTAATAATAAAGGATTACTCAAACATGTGTGAATGAAACAAAACACAACTCCAGGTTTGTTTTTGAGGAGTAAACAACATTATAACATGACTTAAAGCTCACAGGAGTCAGTTCACCGTTAACATTTTCTCTTTGGGTTTTGTCGTTGCCAGATTAGTGTCTCCTTTTGTGCATAATTTCTCTCAGATAAGACAGACATCAGATTAATCACATCGCATTTCAATGATCTGATAACTCTAGAAATCAGATTATGATCAGATTTTTGGTCAGTACATGAATTTGTATTGTCTGACTCATCGCACTGTAGCAGTTACATAGTCGGTGCAGCGTTTCCCCCGACCCAAAGGTTGTCAGTTCTATCTCCATCTATCCCCACTTGTGCACACTGTTGTTGTGTCCTTGAGCACTTAACTGAGAAAACCGCCTCCAGAGTGTATGATTTCACAGTGTTTACAAGGGCTTCCAGGTGATTTATGATTGTATGGAAATTCACAGGGACACGACACCATAGGCACCGGACAGGAGCACATTCCTGATATTATGTGGGTCAAACGTTATTTCACTCAACCTCCAGGCTTGAATTTCAGACATTTTAAGCAGCAAAAATATGTGACAGAAATAAAACAAGACTTCAAACTGCTGGCAGGTCAAAACATGTAATGATATTGTATTAGGTTGGGTTCACATTAGGTCAAAAAATGATAAAAAATATGTAATAAATCTAGAGTAGAATCTGCCATTAAATACTGTGTCTATCCATCTGAAACTAAAACTTTATTTATCAAACTTTTAGAGCTTTTAGACGTAGCCTGCCCATTTCTGTGTGTCTGACCCAAACGGTGCTGCAACTCATTTCATTACAGACAAAAAAAAAAAAAACTCCAAAAGTGACTCAGTGCAAAGAACTTGAAACAAAAATTGTAAAGTGTCTGTAACTACACGCGTCTCTATATTCCAAAAAAATCTACTACCATATTTTTCGGACTATAAGTCGCACTTTTTTTCATGGTTTGGATGGTCCTGTGACTTATACTCTGGTGTGACTTATATATGAAAATTTTCACTGACAGCCGTGAGAGGCTCTAGGCTTGTGTGTCAGTATCTGCTACTCCTATTACTCCTGTACCACTGTCACTTCACCCTTTACTGCGGTTGTCTCCTGCAGAAAGAACCGCTGTGCAGCTGCAAGTAGTGAAATACGCAGCTGAAAACGGTAATCGAGCAGAAGAAAGAAAGTTTGGAGTGAGCGAGACACTTGTGAGAGACTGGTGGAAAACAGGGATGGAGAACACAGTTTCACGGTAACTGGAGGATGAGCCATGCAACTTTCCTGGAAGTTACTGGGTGGATCAACAAAGCCTGGACTTCAGTGACACCGAAACCATCCTGTCGGGATTCAGAAAGGCTGGAATAATTCTAACTGGAACTGATGCTGAGTCTGACGACAGCTACACAGAAGAGGAAGCTCTGTTTACCTCCGGAGGTCGCGGAGTTGCTCAGAAGTGACACCGAGGATGAAGAATTCAATGGATGTAGTGATTTGGAGTGAAATGGAGAGTTTGGTAAACTTGTTCTATTCTGTTGTTTATGTTATAGTTTTCTGAAGAACTGTTCATATGTGACGTTAACAGTCTGTTGTTCTCTGTTCTATTGTTATTACTAGAACTTGACTTTGATGAAATGTCAGTTCCAGGTCTCTGATTTTATAAAATAAATTTCCCACAAAAAGTGCGACTTATATGTTTTTTTTCTTCTTCATTACACATTAAAGTTAGTTGAAGCATAAATTACCTCTCCCGGCCTGATTTTGATGTAGAAGTTGTTCCTCTTGTAGGAGATTTTGAGGATTTTGGGCCATGCAAACCGGTTGATCCTGAGCCTGTCTCTGTAAATGAGGAGTCCACTGGCACACACGCCCAGCATGATCTCCACTGCCTCAGAATCCTGGGAAAAACACACAAGAAAACATCAATAAACAGGAAATAAATAAGTGTTTTTTTAATATACTAAACACAGGTTCTTAATATTTGTATCAGGGCTGAACAATTTGTCACAAAAATGTCATATTTTGCATAAATGTTGTCATTTGATTCTAAACTTAGTAAACTAGAGTATTAACAGATAAGAGAAAACCGATGAACTGTTTGTAGAGGTTGAAACTACAGAGTTATTATAGCATTTTTATGATTGGACATTAAACCAACCAAATACCAAAATTGCAATGACTTAATAATTTAAGTTATTATTCAGCCCTAATTTACATTTTAACATGTTTTAAAGGTGCACTATGTAACTTCTCTGCTGGGGGTCCGCTACTTGCTTGTCTCCATGGAGATTTTATTGATTTGCCTGAAATGTTCTTAAGTAACGTAAATGTAAATTAAACATATCTATCTTGTATTAATAAAGCTATAGTTTTGCAGTTTTATGGATCAAAAATGATCTTGAAAAACATGCAATTTTACTTTTAGTGGGCTCACCTCTCCACAGATCTGATTGTTTTATTGTTATTGGTCTGGTGGTGGTGCTTGTTGCCATGGAGTAGATTTAATGCCATACTGTGGATCATTCTAGGCAAGAGCTATTCAACTCAATTTTCTTGAGGACTAGCCACCACTTAAAACACAATTTGGGGTCACACAAGATATCCTCAACACTAGATCTGTTTATAAATGTTTAAATGCATTTAATTTAATACAATACAAATACAAAACTGAATCTGCATTAAATTAGGACTAGAGTAGTACCAAGAGTCTGAACCAGGACTATCCCAGAATTAAACTAGGACTAGAATTTACTCAGTATTCAACCAGGACTAAACCAGGACCAACCTAGGATTGTTCCAGGCAAAGTAAGAACATCTCTATGGCTACATTCAGACTGCAGGGCTTAATGCTCAATTCGGATTTTTTTTTTGTGAAATCCAATTTTTTTGTGAGGTCGTTCACATTTCCAGTTAAATGCGATGTGTATGTGATCTTCAGGGTGAACTTTAAATAACACGTGTATAGAGTGACAGTGCTCAGTGTTTACGGAAGTTGCGTAAACCTGAGCACCTGGCAATTTAAAGTTGCTGTCGTACCGGAGCCAGAACATGTACAGCTTATTTGATTTAAGGAGGAGATTGAGAAGGAGAAGAATGAGGTTTTTGGCATTCATGGTATTTTGTGGGGCAGTGGCAGCGACGTCCGTAGAAAGGAACATGTGGGTGGGGAGTCGGAGCCAAGAGTGGTGGGACTGTTATGTGCTTCGCTGCTTCACTGACACAGAGTTCGGACACAATTTTCATATAACGAGAAGAATGTTTGTGTACATTTGTGTAGGTGGGATGAATGTGACCTGGCCGTTCAGACAGAAGTCACATGTCAGAAGATCAGATATGTATCAGTTAGGGATGTAGCAATAACCAAAATATTGTGATATCGTATCGTCAGAGTTCTCACAATAATATCGTGGACCATCACATTATATCGAATTACAAGTCTCTTTGCTTAAATTAAGAGTTATGGTGCAGCAATAGCTAAAAAAAAGACAGAGGGAACTACATAGACCATGATCCTTTGCTCCATTTCAGTGCAGACTACATGAAGAAATAATAGTTCTAAGCACTTTTAAGTCTTAGTTCTTTGGATTAAGGCATTTTAAGAGGAAAAAGTCGCATATTAACAGTTTTGGCTCCCGAAAATATTGCAATAAATATCGTACCGTGAGATGTATATCGTAAAAATATCGTACAGAGAGATTTGGATATTGTTACATGTCTAATCGTGATCTTTCCCACGATATCACAATAAATATCGTAGCGTCAGGTTCATACCATGGCGATATCATATCGTGAGACTTGGATATAATTACACCCCTAGTATCGGTTTTAGGAGCACATATCCAAGTGGCCTGGGTCACATTTGAAAAAAATCAGATCTGTGTCTTTCAGAGTGACATTAAAAGATCAGATACAGGTTACATAGGGGCAAAAAAAATCAGATTTGGGTCACTTCAGGCTGCAGTCTGAAACAGGCGTCGGACCCTCCATCGGCAAAATTACACAGTTCACCACATATTATTTAATCATTATAAGATAAAACATGTAAAAGCAAGCGCACAGCAGATAAAACAGGACCCAAACTCTCTGATATGAAGAAAGATAAGAAGCAGGCAGATGGAAAGGCAAGCTTATGTGGTCGCCCTATCAGCTCTACGCAGTTTCCATGATATTGTGAAATGGCAGAAGCGACAGTGAAGCAGAGAAATGGGGCTCTTCACTGCAAAAAATAGAAAATGAACACTGAAAGATGAACTTTAGCGAGTATTTTGTAGTTTTTTGGGACCATGCGGGAGTAAAGAGTAGACACACAGGTGGACAGAGCGTACGTAGCTCTTACCTCACGCTCAGACGAAGCCAAGATTTGATACAGATGCCCTACCAACTTAGCATTTAACAAGAGGAGAGAGACAAAAGAATGTACTATATATTTCGACAATATAGTCTTAACAAATAAAGGGGGTTTCTACGTGGTTCTAATCAAATATCAGGGTTAAATCTCTAAGAAGCCTTTTATAATAGGGGTTAACTAATATTATCAGCATGCATTTTGCGGGGTTATTTTCTATCCATGCTTTAAACATGCGTCATTTGGCAAGAAAGCTATCTGCAAGCTTTTTATTTATTTATTTAGCTTTAATCTTAATAGTGTGCATCATTAAAAAAGCTGCAATCATTGTATTCTTAGTATTAAAAAGCGATTTTACACTATTTTTTGATTTATGTTATGATGTTGTTTCCTCATTGCAGACACCGGAATCCATGTATCATTCGTTTTCTAAAATAAAGCTGAAAATAAGAAAATAAAAAAACAACAATTTCTTCATTATTTGTCTCCAAAACTAAACTGAAAACTAAAATGAAAAAACAAACAAAAAAAAAAACAGATAATGATTTGTTTTGAATAATGGAAAAAACTGAGAAACGTTTCCCATTTTCGTGACTTAAACTGCAATGTCAGACTTTTGCACCACATACGGACTGAACCAGGACTGAACCAGGACTAAAACAGGACTAAAACAGGACTAAAACAGGACTAAAACAGGACTACAGTAGGACTAAACCAGGACTAAGTGTCGAGACCTGCCAGGAGATGCGTCCGCTTTGACTGTTTGGTGATCAGGACTGAGACCAGACCAGGACTGAGACCGGGATGATACTGGGACAAGATCAGGACTGAAACTAGGACTGAGACTGAGACTGAGACCGAGACCAGACTGGGACAAGATCAGGACTGAAACTAGGACTGAGACTGAGACTGAGACTGAGACCGGGAAAAGACTAGGACTGAGACTGAGACCAGACCGGGACTGAGACCGGGACCAGACCAGGATCAGGACTGAGACCAGGTCTGAGACAGGGACCAGACCAGGTCCAAGATCAGGACTGAGACTGACTTTTCCATGGTTCATTTAAACACAAAATCGAAAACTGAAGAAAAAAAAATTGTTATCTGTTTTTTCATTTTGCTTTTGGAGACAAATAATGAAAAAAAAAAAGTATTTTTTTCGTTTTCTTATTTTTGGTTTTATCTTGAAAAAAAAAAATGAATGAATGACACACGGATAATTAAAACACTTTTTTTCTTTTCAGAAGAGAATGAGATTTTCTTCCAGGTAGGATCCATAGTGGTCCATAGGCGTATAATGGTCTATGTGCTCTTATATTTGTTCTGATACAGCTCAAGATCATTCTAAAACTATTCAGGAGCTTCATTTCTGTCCTGTGAATGTGACTTTTTTAGTATCAATACCTGCTCAAATGAGTATCTAGTTTAGTATCTGATTTTTGAAAACACTATTTCCAAATCAACTCTCATATGCCAAAATGATTAACCCAATTATCCTTTTGATATCACTTCCTCAATTAAAAACATATTTCTAATAGTGAACCCTTTTAGTTTATTTTTTTTACCATCTAAGCGTTTCGTATCCATCCGGTCGTAATTTCTCTTTATGACCAGAGTCCTGCTCATGCTTTATTCATCCCATCTGCTGTAAAGATTAGAAACAGCAGCTCTCACAGTCATGCCAGAGCTCTCCTTTATGCCTGCCCACGCGCCAGTCCACCTTAACAAAAATCCACCTTAAATCCACCAAGCCAGCAATGAGCTCATGTCCATAAATTAGCAGCGGCAGTGATTGCAGTTGTGATGCATCGATTACGCAGCCGTGATGTGGAGAAGCGGAACTGTGCTGGTGGCGGCGGCAAGCTTGACTAATAAAAGTACTGCTAGAAGTACTGCTAAAAATACTATCGTTAACTTCTTACCCTGGCGTGATGCAGGTCCACGCCGTACATGGACAGCTTCTTTGCGTTTTCCAAGAAGTGCATCTCCGCTTCGGCCGGTGTCATGCCCCTGAAACAGCGAAACACAAAAATGATCAATATTTACAAGAACGATATTGAAAAAATGAAGTTAAAGAGGGTAGTTTACTTCTGTGGGGTATTAACTCCTAACACAAAACATATTTAGATCACCATGTTAACTTTTGTTGTTTTGCTAATCAAACTACCGCACATTGCATTAGATTTATGAAGTTGTAGTGTATTGTTTTATATCATGGTTTTGTATATTTATAGAGAATTGTCGCGTGGGAGCATGGGTGACGTGGACGTGTGGGCTGAGCGTAAGGAGGGTTCGAATAGAGCCTGGGAGAGATCGCTAGATTACTCAAACATGCATGGATGATATCTAAAAAATCTTCAGGCATGTTTTTGATGAAGGAATATTGTAACAAGGTAGAATGAAGGGCTGGGCGATAAGGAGCATAAACTATATCTCGATATACGATATATATCTCGATATCTGTACAGGAAAAGCAACCCTCCAGAACTACTCCACAAGGTCTTTTCTTACTGAAGTGCAAAGAGGTAGGTAGATCATGTAGGAAAAAAGTGCTTCTGCAACTTAAAAAATAAAAAATAAAATCCATTTATACAAAAATAATTTAATTGTAAAATAAAGGAAGAAAGAACACATATTGCCTTCTTTTCACTCAAAAATAAAACAATTCAGCTCAACTCAAGCTCATCTTGAGACAAACAATAACCATAACCATGAGCTCCTTTAGCAGTGGCAGATACATAACAGATCCATGTTCCTCACCAGCGTAAGGAGCTATGAGGTATCCCACAATCCACTGCAGATCAAACCCAACATTTCTAAACACAATTGTTCAAGTTACACTGCAGCAGATTATTTATTAAAATCTTCTACATAAATAAACTTGACATTACTAAACTTTATAACATATAAACCGTAACGACTATAGAGCCACATCAGCCCGTTTCAGATTATAATGTGTTTAATGCAGCTTTGCCACATTTGTTTATGTTCTACAAAAACGAGACTTAAAACCACATGGCTCATTTGCATAAACTATAAGTGATGAAAAAAAAACAACTCGCTCCTTGTGCAGGGCGAGCGGGGCGAGCACAGAGAAGGCAAACAAGCAAAACGGCAAAATCAGAATTAAATATAAGTATTTTATCGATATATATGATATGTCAGAATCCATTTCGTGTTTAAAAAATATATAGATATATTTTAATATATTAATTGAACACTCGGAGCGCATTACACATCGACGTTGTTGATTACATTGATAAATAATAGGCAGATATTTGTATTACTATAGTTATATATTTGTATATATTTTTTATACTTTTCCTTGTACACATTCATATAATTATGCCTTATTGACACCAGTCTTTTGCTATTTTTGCTACTTATACTTAGAATTTATTATTACCATTTATATTTTGTGATTATATTGTGACTTGTGAGCTACTATGTCCAAATTATTTTCCTTGTGGATTAATAAAGTTTGTCTAAATCTAGTATGTTCTCTCTCTAGTGAGAATACAAGTGTTTTTGATAAATACTAAACAGCTGTAATAGCATAAATGCAAGATAGATATATTAGATAGATATACTACCATATGATGAAACAATCCAGGGAAAGCAATAACATTTCTATAGAAACAACAAAGATCCTCCACCCCCACATATTCCAAGACAGGCTATTATCAATTTCAGCAACCTAAAAGCTCCTCCATGTTTTCTTGGAGCTTTTAACGGGGCCATTTTTAGCCTGGATGCCCTTCAGGGAGACCTTAATCCTGTTGGTATTATTCTTCCCTGCTTCAGTGAGAGTGGGACGAGACCGCATCAGATTCCACACAAATCATGATAATACTCGGAGAGAGGACGGTCACTGCGAGGCTTTGAGGAGAAAATATCTTCCCAGACAAGATACTATTTATAGCTATAGATACGTTACAACCAGTTAAAGGTCTTATTTATATTATTTTACACTTGTAGTCATGTTATAATGTTGTTAACTCCTCGAAAACATATGTGGAGTTATGTTTTGTTTCATTCACATGTTTGAGTAATTAGGCGACCCACATCTCTACCTTCTGATATCATGAAGTAGTACTTTTAATATATTTAATGGAATTGAACTGCCTTTTCAACAGAACAAAAACAGTTGAAATTGACAGAGAAAGTCCACAATAATGCTGCTCGATTATGGAAAACAATCAGTATCACGATTATTTTGGTCAATATTGAAATCACGATTATTCAAAGGATTATTTTTTTAGTTACACGATGCATTTATTCATTAATTCTTTCTAAAAACAAACAAAACAAAAAAAAACACATTGTTACTGACAATTTATGCAAAGCTTTCAAACTGAAAATAAATTCAGGCTACAAATATGAACCTTAGAGCAGTTTTGTGATGTATAACACATAAAATGAATAAAATAATCTTTGAACATAAATTATGGCATAGAAAAACGTAACGTAAGTGTATCCAAAATAAACTATATATATCCAGCTGTTCTACAATCTCTATATTTAAAAAAATAATAAAACAAATGTACTTATTTATATAAAAATTAGTGCTGTCATGCGATTAAAAAAATTGAGAGATTAATTAATTATGATCTGTAATTAATTAATCTAATTAATCTCTTTTTAATCTCACCTAAAAAATGCTGAGAAAAGCCTTCAAGTTGAGGTATTTTCATTTAAATTCATTATTACATTATTGTGGCAGATCAAAAGACTGATATAGATTTTAAAAAGTGACTTTATAAAGTCATTTATTGTTTAACAAATCTCTCCAAATTGACTGTTGAGCCCAACTGGTTTTAGTTCTGGTTTTAGTCCTGGTTTAGTCCTGGTTTAGTCCTGGTTTAGTCCTGGACTGGGTTAGTCCCGGTTTTAGTCTTGGTGTTAGTTCTGGTTTAGAGGCGCACAGGAGGAAGCGCGGTTTACGCAGTGTACGCGAGAAAACGTACGTGGCTCACGGGAGCACGTCGGTGTCCGCGCAGTAACTACGGAAAGAAACGTGGTCCGCGCGTTCTCAGGTTAATGACGATGATGAAGGTGTGTGTTTGTATGTGTGTGTGTGTGTGTTGTGTGTTGTGTGTGTTTGTGTGTGTTTGTGTGTGCGTGTCCCCTCATGTGGCAGGTCACTATAGACAGTAGTGCAGACATCATGAGTCTATGCAGGTTGTTTTCACCAGTGACATTTAAGTTGTAGGCGATTTTATATTTGTTATTTTCTTTTATATTTCACGTCGGGAGAATAATTTCCAAGACACAAAATGTGTTTTTACCTGTGCACTGCTGCTCTGTTCTACTGGCTCTTCCACCTCGTCCATTGTGCGACTGACGCCACCAACGTTAACATGACGTTTACATCGCTGTTACTGTGTGCGTTTTGTTGTGGGTTTCCGGCAATGAGTGGAATTACCGAAATAAAAAAATAATGAATGTGTTTTTTGTGTGTGTGTTGTTGTCCCAACAACACATAAAAACAGGTTTTATAATAAAGAAACTCGCATACAGAAACACTAAAGTTAGAGATTAAAAATGAGATTAACGCGATTAAAAAAACATAACGCGCTAAATATGACTGTAATTAATTAATCGCAATTAACGTGATAATTTGACACCCCTAATAAAAATATCCCAAAATAAACTTTGTTAAGCTTTAAATCGTTTCAACTTGCTTATATGAGTTTGGAGATCGTTTGACACACAAATCGAAATCGCGATCAAAATTCGATTAACTGCACAGCCTTAGTCCGCAATATCTTCAGGTGCATCGAGAAGTGAAGACGTTTCAGCGAGGCTACAACAAAAGATGTAGCTTCAAAGTTTGGCAATTACATAGGGGCAAATTAATCAAGTGAAGGTGTTTGAAGTTTAAAAACACAGTGGAGCAGCTTTACAGCACCTCTATTATTGTTACCTCCACCAAGGAGGTTATGTTTTTGCCGGCGTTTGTCTGTTTGTTTGTTTGTTTGTCTGTTTGTTTGTTTGTGTGTTTGTTTGTTTGTTTGTTTGTCTGTTAGCAACATAACTCAAAAATTTATGGACCGATTTTGATGAAATTTTCAGGATTTGTTGGAAATGTGAAAAGGAAGAACTGATTTCATTTTGGGGGTGATCCGGAAGAAATCCTGGATTCTGGATCACTTTGAAATTTTAGTTAACATTGTGGTAAATGGGGCCTAAAATTTTGTTTTTCAATATCTTGGTTAATTATTGACCAAACCCCATGAAATTTGACTCAGGGATGGACAATGGGATCCTCTTTCATATTCCAAAGGCTGATCCGGATCTGATCCAGAAGACTGATTTTATTGCAATTTATATAAAAAATGGGGGTAGTCCTTGGCGGAGGTCTGCGCTCTCTGAGTGCTTTTCTAGTTATTAGTATTATTGGTGGCTGCAAAAAAAGACAGGAACCACCTACAACTACCTGCACTGTTTTGTTGTTACTGTTTGGATGTTGTCTATTTTTTATGTGTGCCTTTGAACATAACAAAAACTCAATAAAATGTGAAGGTTACGTATATGGATACTGACTTGTAGGTCTTGTGAAGCTCCATGACCTTCTCCTCCAGTTCTTTGGTTTGGTTTGGTGCAAAGCGTAGTTCACTGATGTAGTCCGTGCCCAGCTCCTCGGGGTCGTAGTCTCCGAGCTCAGACTGGACCGTGTAGGAGCCCAGGACCGTGTGAGTGGCAAAGGAGCAGGGCAGCCGACCGGAGACCACATCGTCACGCAGCTGAAGGCACAGGTAGTACCTATGGACAGACACAGGGGTTATCATGAGTAAAACTGGTGTTTAATCAAGTAAAGTATCATTTGTGTTTGAACAGGACCACTCATTTTAGCCATAAAGTTAAAGGTTCATTGTGTAACTTTTCTGCTGGAGGGTTCGTCAAACACTTTTACTCCATGGAGATGTTATTGCTTTGTCTGGAAGGTTTCACAGTACGGCTTTAAACATTTCTATCTTCACGGAGACCAAACCAGACCAAGTTAAAGGTCAGATCTGTGGAGAGGCGACCCCGCTCACAGTCAGAATGTCTGTTTTTCTAAGCATTTTTGAGCTATAAAACCACCTATAACTGAATAAATGCTAAAGTATAAGTGTTTAATGTCACACTGTGGAACATTCCAGGCAGAGAAATGACATCTCCATAGAAACAAGCAGGTGATGGACCCCCCCCGAACCAAAAAGTTACATAGTGCACCTTTAAGTAAGTCTAGTCGTCTTTATTTAACTTGCTGATATCTTATTCCTTATTCTCATAATTTGCATCATTGTTTTTTTTTTCTTTTATTGCAGTGAAAAACATGTATTCTTACAGAGAGCAGGCTTGCATCTCCACAAACCCGACTCTTATCTGCCTCTTCCTGTTTGTTTCCATATTAGTATTGTTCCTTTGGCTATAATATTCCACAGTAGACTAATGGAATAAAAGGTAACTGTCTCCATGAAGAATATTCCGAAGTATAGTTTTAACTTTCTTCCATGGAGTCAAGCAGCTGACTTTCCATCTCCAGAAAGTCACAAACACAAAATACAAAAACAAAATTTCGAGGTAGACCTGTCCAATAGGCATCCCGGCAGAAAACTGACCGTAAAACCGATTAAAACAACTCAAGAGTAACATTTGGACGTTAATAAAACTATATAGTATTGATTCAAAGAGACAGGATTGAATTAAAAAGCAGAAACACAACTTTACTGAAATGAAGTGTCAAAAGATGTAATGTTAAATAAGTCATCTGGACAATGTTTTTGAAAAGTTGAAAATGTTTCGACTGCCATCCAGAAGTACAGGATGTCCCAAAGAATTTTTACCTAATTTTACCGGCGAATAATTTAGGCAATTCTTGATGAAATAACCTCAAATTTTTACAGAATGTATAGAAACAAAACAAGATTTTATATTTATTGTTTTATTTTTGTTCTGTTTTCAGGTTGAGCCAAAGAGAAGTCATTTTGCGTCTTGGAATATACTCGCACACATATGTAATCCTTTAGCCCTGCATAATCAGTCTTCCTCTTTAAATTTTTGGTACCAAGTCCAAATTTGTTTGCCAGTTGGTGAAGTTTTTCCAAATTTTGCATGGAAGGCTGCACAGTCTCGGGTGAGTGTGCGAGCACATTCCAAGACTCAAAATGACTTCTCTTTGGGAGTGAAAAGAACAAATTCAATTCAAATTCAAATTTCTATACATTCTGTGAAAATTTGAGGTTATTTCAACAAGAATTGCCAAAATTATTAACCTGCAAAATGATCAAAATGGTCAAATTTATTGGGACACCCTGTACTTCAATTTGACTGTACTGGACAGAGAAGAACTTACACTGTCCTGAACTAGATTACACCAACTCATATGTTTTAAAACAAAACTTCTCCTCACCTGGTGATGTCCTCGCTGAGCTGGGAAGGATCTGGAGGGTAAAACTTCACATTGAAAGCAAAGTTCCAGGGTCCAGCTGCAGCAGAAACATTTCAGGATGAGCTCATTCACACAAATACTGGGTACAAAATAGAGTACTGCAAAAATAACACAATGAAATACATACTTCTGATCTGCTTCTTTAGCTCTTTGCAGGGGTCTAGCCAATTCTGAAAGAGGAGAGAAATGTTAGAAATTTTGCAAAAGTATGCGGTGTAAAGTGTCTACATAAACTGGATTTTTAGTGTTCCTCCGTGTTTTGTGTCACCTGTGCGTGTTTGTGTAACTATACCTTCTGGTTCTCGACGTCTCTGTACGTGATGCCAAAGTAGTCCTTCTCCAGCAGGTTCAGGTGGTCACACACTTTGTCAAAGAGGACCTGGCCTTTGGCTCGTTTCTGGAAAAGACAAAGAAAATGTTGAGAAAATTGTGAGTAATATACTGACAAATTCCATAAAATATTGATAATTTCACAACATAAGTCACATGCGGCCCTTGATCTACCATTAGGGTTGTCAAAAATATCAAAACTAGGTACTCGTTTGAACAAGTATTGATACAAAAAAGTCACATTCACAGGACACAAATTAACCTTTCCTGAATAGCTTTAGAATGATCTTGAGCTGTGTCAGAACAAGTATAAGAGCACATAGACGAGTGTACACCCATGGACCACTGTGGAACCTACCTGGAACACTGAGGGATTACACAGATATAAAACCACATGGAAATATTAAAGAAAGTACTATGATTTAATGTTGGAAATTGCACTCTATTGTCTAAATAAATAATCATTACCATTGTGGCATTGGAAATCTATTCCTTAGTATCGAAAGAGTTTGAAATTTTAGTATCGTGTCAACACCATTTACCACCAGTTATTACTTTGAATAGGATGTTCCACAGTAAAACATTAAATGCTTCTTTTTATTTCCATGGAGACAAGAAGGTAGCATCCCCAGAGCCAAGCTAGAGTCAGATCTGCGGTGAGGCAAACCCACTCACAGTTAGAGAACATTATTTTCTAGCCATAACAAAGTAATTAAATATGTGCACTAAGTTTCATGTCACACTGCGGAACATTTATGGCACAGGAATATCATTTCAGAATATCAAATCAGAAATTATAACTTAAAGCAGTGATTTTTGACCACAGGGCTGGGACCACCTCCTTGGGGACCCCACAATCAGTACAAAATAATACATTTAATATGAGATAAGGCCCCGGGATACTTTGTTCAGAAAAAAATTGGACCCCAAAATTGAAAAGCTTAAGAAACTCTAACTTAAAGGTCTTATATTATGCAAAACAAGACTCTTTAAGCCATGTTAAAATGTTGTTACCTCATCAAAAACAAACCTGGAGTTTATTATTAGTCTGTCTACATCTCCAAAGCTCAAAATGCTGTGTTCCACCCTGTGATGTCATGTAGTGGTAGCTTTCAATTTATCAGCTATTTTTTTACCTTTTGTTAAGTAGAAATGAGCAATTCCTGGACTGAAATCATCCAAATGTTTCTAGTGAAGCTGTGTGTAGTTTCAAAACACACTGGAGCACTTCTTGTATTACCACATGACATCATAAAGTGGAACAGTGTTTTCTATCTGAGAGAAAAACTCATCTTAAATATGCATGTTTGTGTGTTAAACAGGTGTGAATAAAACAAAACACAACTCCAGGTCTGTTTGTGATAACATAGATCAGAAAATAGCGTAATATAGGCCCTAAAAATAACACAATATAGCTTTAATCACATCATTTATAAGATTTCAAAGAGGCCTAGACTTAAGACAACTGAGATACAATATATTAAAGTATTAAAGGAGCCGTAGACAAAGTTAATCCGAGCAGATCACCTTAAGCAGCTGGAGATTAACAGCCTCCTGAGGACAGCTCTGATATCTGATACTATGGACAGGATTTTTAGTCAGTGCTGCCCTGAATTTGGACTCACAGGTTTTTAGCAACGTGGATAAAATATGAAATCAAGTTTATAGATTTAAATAAACTTTGTACAAATCAACAAGAGGAATTACATGGACCCAGTTGCTCAAAAAATACATAAACAATACTTAGTAACAAAAAGCAGATAGAAGAGGAATAAAACTTAGGTCCTATAATATGCGACATTGATTCTTGTGATCTTTAAGTCATGTTATAATGTTGTTACCTTGTCAAAAACTGGAATTAGCTGCTTAATTATCATCAGAACAACTGTGAAAAAAGTTTGGATGATGTTTGTGTCCGCGGTGTAACAACAAACCAAGATTACAAAAAAGCCTGTAGCAGCTGAAGTGTGTGTTTTCCTCCATACATTCGTTTGTGTTCCTGACCAATCAGAACTCTTCTCGACCCCCAGACGTTGAGCGGAATTAAATAAAGGCAATTTAATGTGTTTTCCATGTAAACCTCACTTCGGAATTATTATTTTCAAGTAAACTCGAAGGAGAATATTTTAATTACGAACAATTTAATTCTGAACAATTCATTTGGAATTTAAAAACATCATGTGAAAGTGGTCAATATAAGTCTGACTGGGGAATCGGATCAGTATCAAGAGATCCAGAGCCAATATCCTATCAATAAAATTTTCCAGTACTGGTGCAGCAATACTTACAAGCAAAATGCCAAGTGTCTCTCCTAGCTCTCTATGCCCATTTCCTACCCTGTTCAGCCAAATAATACCCAAAAGATATGAATTATTGATATGGCTAGCAAACCATTCATTTCCTTCGTGAATTTATAAAAAGATTGAGACTTCTTAGCCTAGTTCTGCATGAATTTGCATCTAAACTCCGGATTGTTCCAAAGCTCTGCTCCTTATCGCTACACTGGTGTCTAAACGTGACAGTGCGCACTTTGCAGATTCTTGACGTCATGAATCTGTAGTTTTCAAGTCAGCATCTTCCTTTTACATTGTGTTCAGCAGAGACTGGCAAATCCAAGGCTGAAATTATCCAAATGTATAAAGATGTATTACTCGGGATGATATCCTAATCTCTCGATAAGATATTTTCACAATATGATATTTACTGCGATAGTTTGTGGAATGTAACAAAATTGTGAATGTTATGCTACTTTTATGTCATAATATAATAATATAGATTTAAAAGTGCTTAAAATCCGTTATTTCATCATGTAGTTTGGACTGAAACAGAGCAAAGGATCATGGGATATGTAGTTTCCTCTGTTTTTTCAATAAATTCTAGCAAAGAAACTTGTAATTCGATGTGTTGTGATGATCCACGACAGCAAGATATTCAAGTTATTGTTACATCCCAGTGTATTACCACATGACATCACGAGGTGGAACAGGGTGTCTTCTGTTTAAGAGAAGAACTCAGCCTCAATATACAGGTAAGAATGAAATAAAACACCACTCCAGGTATGTTTGTGATGAAAAAACATTAGAACATCGATGAGATAATATGGGCCCTTTAACTGTCATTAGTAGTCGCCAAAAATTACATAAAAATGATTCAGGATGGACCAGATGGTGCTTTATTCATTCACAGATTGCAGCGTCCTCTTATGTAATATTTTGAGGACTTTTTACCCATTCAGTAACTTGAATCATTTGTTTTTAATTGTTAAATCGCAATAGCATCTGTCCTAATTCCTCATCGTTCTGGATCCCATCTGTGCGTGAGGACGAGGTCACTTGTGAATCATTAAGAGGAAATTGGCAGGAAATTTGATCCATTTGCAGTGATAAAGACTTTGATCTATTACAATACCTTATCTGGACCAACTCATTTGATCATATTCTGGTACCAAAGACCAAGCATGTCTGAAGTTTTTGAGTTAAAAGAGTTGTTAATGCGTTTGTGTTCCCAGTAGGGTTGTCAAAAGTATCGAAAATCAGACCACAAGTCGATATTAATACTAATTAATTTGAGCTGGCATCAATACTAAAAAGTTGCATTCACGGGACAGAAATGAACCTTTCCTGAATATGTGTAGAATGATCTTGAGCTGTATCAGAACAAGTAGAAGAGCACATGGACCACTATGGAACCTACCTGAACCACTGAGGGATTACACAGATATAAGGCATATGGTAATATAAAAGAAAGTACTATGATTTAATGTTCAAAATCACATTCTATTTTCTAAAGTAAGACTGTTTTTATCATCAAGTCTATTCTTTAGGGTTGAAATCAAGGTTGAAATTTCAGTATCATGACAACAGTAGTCCACAGTTTCCACGTTTACATGAGATCTTTAATTCAGAATAAAAATGATTTAATTCAGAGTAAAAATGATTTAATTCTGAATAAAAGTGATTTAATTCTCAAGAAAAATTATTTAATTCTGAATAAAAATTAATTCCACTTTAAAAACAGCATGTAAACACTTAATTCCTAAAGAAAATGATTATTCAGATTTTAACTTAATTCTGAAGTAAGTGGGTGGTTTATTTTGGTTTTAAAGCCAAATTAATTTATTCCTGGATCATGGAAACGTTTATTCTTCTTAAAAATAATTCCAGTCATTCAGCGCAGGCTCGTTGGGTCGCCTTCTGACACGATCTGGACGTCCTCGCTTCGGACTTTCATTCACTGCTCTTTGGATTTGTGAAAGGGATGTGGGAGTGGGCTGAGGTAGAGCAGCCTTTGGGTCAGTTTATCTTCCTCCCTTCTCCAACACTCATCCCTTCTCCTCCTCAGCTGACAGACTTAAAGCATAATGAGACACTTCACAAGCTGCTTCATTATCATCAGAACGACTGTGAAAAAGGTTTTGATGATGTTTGTGTCCGTGGCGTAACAACAAACCAAGATGACAAAAAAGCCCGTAGCAGGTGAAGTGTGTTTTTCTTTCGGTCGACGTAAATACATTCCTGTCTCTGTCCAATTAGAACCTTTCCCGACCCCCAGACGTTGAGCAGAATTAAATAAAAGCAATTTAACGTGTTTTCCATGTAACCTCAATTCGGAATTATTATTTCAATGTAAACTAGAAGGAGAATATATTCATTCTGAACTATTTCATTCAGAACAATTAATATGGAATTAAAAAACATCATGTAAACGTGGCCAATATAAGTCTGAGTGAGGAATCGGATCAATATCGAGAGATTCATAGCCAATATCCTGTCAATTAAACTTTCCAGTATTGGTGCCGATACTGATACCGGTATGGCCCAACTTACAAACAAAATGCCAAATGTCTCTCCTACCCCCATTTGCAACCCTGTTCAGCCAAACAATACCCAAAAGATATGAATTATTGATATGTCTAGCAAACCATTCATTTCCTTTGTGAATTTATAAAAGGATCGAGACTTCTTTGCCTAGTTGCAGATTTTGGGTCTGAATGAATTTGCATCTAAACTCCGGATTGTTCCAAAGCTCTGCTCCTTATCGCTACACTGGTGTCTAAACGTGACAGTG